AACACCAATGTTCTTTACAACAGTTGATATGCGTGCGCCACCCCACCCCAAAGTTGTTTGGCGAAAATTGCCAAGTCAAGTTACCCACACGAGTTGCGCAGCAGGGTCAAGTTGCACAGCCCAAATATCGCCAAAAGCACCACGTCCTTACGTGTACCTTCCTATTGTTCGCTGTTCATCACCCCTCCCACACTCCCACTCTCTCCCTCCTTCCCCTCCACCCCCCCCCCCCCCCAGCCAACTTCCCGCGCCTAGCGCGCCCCTCATTTCCCCTTTCCGTCCCACCCTCCCCTTTTGTCCTTTTATATTGGCGGTGTTTTGCGTGCTCGGTTTTTTTGCGCCCTGATTGGTTCATGAGGTTTCGTCAAGAGTGTTTTTGTCGCGCATGGTGTTGCGACGCTCGCTCGTTGGCGAAAACCACTCGCCACCTCGCACCACTGCCCTACGCCCCTGCGCGATGCTGTGTCCAACTTTTTGCCCTTATCATGTTTATTAATCTTGCACGTTTTGGGTCAACGGCTTTAACACCACCAGTCAAGTTCTGGTTGCAAACAGGCAGCACGACGTGAGGGAGAATTTTCAGATTCACTATGTACAAAGGGATACAAAGAAACAAATTTATATGAAAACATTTCCTAAGACATGACATTGCGTAGCGCACATCCGAACCGCATTTCACACAATATAACCGAACCGCATTTCTGCTCCTCCGAACACCGCGTCACTGTACCAAATTCCGCTCGTCGCTCACAAGTCCTCCGCGTGTCCCAAACACTTCCTCCTTCCAACACGTAACCTTGCAGCCCCTCACCACCTAGCACACCCATATGTAGTCTTCAGCTTACGCCACTTGTTAGTGCTGCCATACTGCCACCTAGCTCACGCCATGCTGCCACGCGTTGACTAGGGGCAAGCGCGAACCACTTCCAACAACCTCCCCTGTGGTTTGCGGCTTGCTCACTCAAGCTACGTGTGTAACCCTACATCTCTCTTACACTGCCGGAACTGCTCCTTCTACCTGACTCTCCTCTTCCTCATGGTGTCCTGCCCTGCTCTCTTCCTCCTCCTGTACGGGCTGAATGGCTGGTCCTGCTGGCTCGTCGCTCGCTACCCTCTGCTCTACCTCCTTCGGGTGCCACTCCCATTCCTCCTCAGCCCCAATCTGCTCTTCCTCGGTCTCCTTCTCTCTACCAGCTGCTGCTGTTCCTAATCCTTCTTGGTTAGCCTCCTCCAGCAGTTCCTCCATCGTTTTTGCTGTCTCTGCTGACTCTTGGCTCAAGCCTTTCCACTGGGGATAACTGACATCCTCATAGAAAGTAGTATCTCGAGTAATCAGCACCTTCCCAGTCTCCACGTCATTTACCACCCAGCCCTTGCTGTTGAGACATATCCCGAGGTTTATGCCCCACCTGGTCCTTGGCAACAGCTTGTGCTTAGGACCAACCGGCTCTCGATATTGGACCATACAGCCCCATACCCTCAGGATCAGGCTTCCTCCTTTAGAATGCTTCATGAGGGGTAAGGTCACTCGCAGTACCTTTGGTAGGTAGTCTGTTTTTAATCCAACATGCCATGGCCAAAGCATCACCCCAAAACCTCTGTGGAAGCCCACTATCAGCAAGCATACTCCTCACGCTGTTCAGCAGGAACCTGTTTGCTCGCTCTGCAATGCTGTTGTGCTGTGGGGTATAAGGGACAGTCAGTTGCCTCTTGATACCTTTGGACTGACAAAACTCAGTGAACCTCCTGTCTGTAAATTCACCTCCATTGTCAGTCCTCAACACCTTCAACACTCTTCCACTCTGGCGTTCAGCTTCAGCCATCCAAGCCACAAAGCTTGAAAATGCCTCTGTCTTATCTCTCATCTCAGTTACCCACGTATTCAGTGTACCAAGATTAGTGAATGTGATGAAATACCTGCTCCCATGCCTGGAAGCAACTCGTAGTGGTCCACAGACATCTGCAGCCACGACTTCGAGTGCCCCATAGGGTTCTCGAACCTCGTGCTTAGGATGTGGACGTTTGCTCGCTTTCCCTTGCACACACTCACTGCATGGCTTAGCAGACTCCTTACTCTGGTTCAGCTCCATCCCCATAACCATCTCCTTCGCCATCATCTCCTTAAGCCGCTCCTCACTAGCATGACCCATCCTCCTGTGCCACATGCCTAGCTCCACTCCTCCTGCCGCCTTTGCTATAGCCATTGACCGTAACTGTGGCTCTCCCTCTGGCCTCTCCTCTATCATGACAATTTGCTCCTCCCTAGCCTTCTTGCCCTCCTCAGGTTCGGGCAGATAGCTAACTATTCCCTTCACCAACCTCTTCACTTGTAACCTCATCTCGTACAAACCCTGACTGCGCACCCCCTCAGCTAGAATGTGCCAATCCATTCCAAAGACCCACATCTTTCCCTTATCACTGAAGAACTTGCTTCCTGTGCTATCGAGCTGAGACTGGCTAATCAGGTTTAGCGGCAGCTTCTCGACCAGCAAAACGTTTTCAAGGGTCAGCTCCCCGTACGGACTTTGTAGCTCGATCTCTCCTTCTCCCAACACCGGCAGCCTCCCTTCATCTCCTAGCAGCACATAGGGTACTGTTGACTGTCTGAAACTAGTCAACCAGTCACCTCTGTAGGTCATGTGCTGTGTGCACCCACTATCCATGAACCAGCCTTTCTCATCAAGCCCCTTTGTGAGCAAGCATACCTCCGACGGTTTAGCCAAGTTCGCTCTATGTGCTTCTCCAAGAATAGCATCCTCCTCCGCTAATGCGCCTGCTGCATTTACTCTAGCCGCTGCTGGTTTTTGTTGCACTCGTACCCCTTGGAAGCGTTGACTCCTAGGGTTGAGAAAACAATCTACTGCCTTATGCCCATAGCGCCCGCAGTGATTGCAGCTGCCCATGAAACCTCATCCTGTCCTCGCCTTTTCTCCTGCTTCCCTGTCTGCACCCTGCTCCTTCCCTAAGGTCTTTCCCCTGAAATTCTTACTCTTAGGGTTGAAATAGCACTCGGCTGCCTTATGCCCATTTCTGCCGCACTCAAAACATGGACCAAAGCCCTTTGCTGTAGGCCCTGTCGCATTAACTAGAGCTGGTTTCACTGGTGCAACACTACTAGCAGTTGCCTCCTTCCTCTTCCTCTCCGTCTTAACCAGCTCTAGCAATTGCAGCATCTCTATGAGCTTTGTGAGTGATGAAGGCGGGTTGCAAGTCAGCATGCCTATCTCCATCTCCCACTCCTTCGGTAGCCCATTGATGATATACCCTATCATCTCTCCCTCGGATTCCGCCGCACCCATCGCCTGCAGATCGTCGTTATAACTCCGCGCCCTATTCACGAACTCGATGATACTCTCCTTCTCCTCCATGCTCAACAACAGCAACTTCTTTCTAACGATCGCTTTGTTGGTGTCGGTACGACCAAGGTAAACCGTCTCCATGTACTCCCACGCTCTCTGCGCTGGATTTAACTCCCCTGCAAACTGATCTAACCCTACAGCTATGCTGTCTGCAACGGAGTGACATAGCTGAAAGAACGCTTGCTTACTCTTCTTTTTATACGTCGCCTTTTCACTCGCAGTCGCAGCTACACCTGGTGGTACTCCTTCCTGTGTCATCTCGTCAGGATGAAAGAACGCCCAGAGGTCTACTTCCTCTGCCCTCCTGATAAACTTCAAGCGCCACGTACTATAGTTGCTGCCACTAAAACGCTGCGCCTCGCTCAAGCCAATCGTTGGCTTCGAAACGAAATGCCCCTGTGCTAACGCTTCTAGGAGAGCTTGCAGTTGCGGGCCTCCACCAGCGGACGATCCCGAACTAACCTCGCCACGTTCATTCGTCATGGCGTAGGTGTTCTAACTCTCTCTAGCCGTGCGCAACAAGGATTCGCCAAGCTCTGATACCAGCTGTTAGAATTTCCAGCAGCACTCTCGCTGCTCTCATGTCGTTCTTATACTCCAAACCGACTCCCGACAGCACTTGCGCAAGTACTAAGGGTAGTCTTAACACCACCAGTCAAGTTCTGGTTGCGAACGGGCAGCACGACGTGAGGGAGAATTTTCAGATTCACTATGTACAAAGAGATACAAAGAAACAAATATATATGAGAACATTTCCTAAGACACATGACATTGCGTAGCGCACATCCGAACCGCATTTCACACAATATAACCGAACCGCATTTCTGCTCCTCCGAACACCGCGTCACTGTACCAAATTCCGCTCGTCGCTCATAAGTCCTCCGCGTGTTCCAAACACCTCCTCCTTCCAACATGTAACCTTGCAGCCCCTCACCACCTAGCACACCAATATGTAGTCCTCAGCTTACGCCACTTGTTAGCGCTGCCATACTGCCACCTAGCTTACGCCATGCTGCCACGCGTTGACTAGGGGCAAGCGCGAACCACTTCCAGCACCTATCAGTGCTCCTCAGCGCTGCTACCCTCAGCGCTGCTTCGCGTCAGCAATGGTGAGCCACCACGCGCCAAATGGACGTAAATCCTTCATCGCATCTTCAGAGTTCTCCCTCTTTCCTGGTATGCAATTTCACTCCTTCCACCCTCGCACACCTTTCTCTTTTCACTCCCCCACCCCATCCTCCGCTTCCTCCAACCTAGTACTAGTAATACTCTACAGGTGGTACTCCTTCCCTGCCTCATCCTCCTCCAACCATCTCCCTCCCTTTTCTTCACCATCCACTCCGTTCACCTGGCCCTTTACCCCCCATGCAGGAATATACCCTGCCTGGTGTTTCATATGGCTGATGTTTCCTCACCTTCCTTTACCCCCAAACCTCTTTTCAGACCACGAGCTAGTGGCTTGTGTAGTCACGTTGCACTTTGTTGTCTTCCCTCCTATTGCTTGCTTCCTTCTCTCCCATCCACCACTTGCCCTGTCCCCCCCACCACAGCGCCCCCCCCCCCCGCCCCGCCATCGCAGCTTTCCCCCATGCCTCTGCACTCTACATCGTCCGCCTGCGCTCCGCACCGCCCGTCGCTTCGTACCGTGGCGGATTGGCTGGCTACCCGGCAACGGCCGTCTGGGACAGCGACCCTAACGGCGATGCTGTCGACACCACGTCAGATGACGCCGCCGACGATCCCCCAGCAGCCCCAGATCCCTCCTCCTCCTCCTCCTCCTCCTCCTCCTCCTCCTCCTCCTCCTCCTCCTCCTCCTCCTCCTCCTCCTCCTCCTCCTCCTCCTCCTCCTCCTCCTCCTCCTCCTCCTCCTCCTCCTCCTCCTCCTCCTCATCCCCGGCTAGCAGCAATGTCGTTGGTGCCACACCTGATGCTTCTGTTGCTGCTGCTGCGGCTGACACTAACAGTTTGGGGGGGATCGGCCGCGTGTTTTGCCGGCCGCGTTTGGACATGAGGGCGTTCAAGCAGCTGCTGCAGCGCATGCAGCAGGCCGTGGTGTAGGAGAGTGGGGTGGACCCCAGGAAGGTCGTCTACAGGTGAGCTGCAGTTACTGAGTCATTCGTTGAGAGGGCTTTAGAAGCGGATACAGCAGGCTGTGGTTGCATGACACATGGGTTGACGCCGGCTGTGTTCGATTTTCGTTCCTTTCCGCTTTCTCTACACTTCCCAGTTCCCATCCTCCTTGCATGTCACTTCCCCACCCACCCACAGCCCCGCCCTTTGCCAAAAATCCCTTTCCAATTTTGCGCACAACGATGTCAAGCGGCTTACCCACACTGCTCACCCCATCCCAGGTCCAAGGTGACGGCACACCTCAGGCACCCTCCGGCACCAGTGCATGCATAACATCTTCGCTTTTCCTTGTCTTGTCTTCCCTTGCCTTGCACGTCCCCGCCCCGTCCAGCTACAAGCACACGACGAACGGCTTCTCAGCGACCCTCACCCAAGCCCAGGTGCAGAGGATGAGGCGCCACCCATCAGTGGCCTCTGTCACCCTCTCCCGCACCTTTCGCCCCGCCACCACCGACTCGTACAACTTCCTTGAGCTGCCCAGCACCCTCTGGACCGCTGCCAGCACATCCAGTAGCGCTGGCGACGGCACGGTGATTGGGATCATTGATACTGGCGTGTGGCCTGAACATCCCTCCTTTGACGACACGGTAAGTTCTGCAGCTCCCTCTGCTTCTCTCGCCTACCTTATCGTTTCCTCCCTTTCTCCTTTTTTCTCCCCCCACCTCCCTTGTCCGATCCTTGCTCCCTTTTATCCCTCCCTCTTTCTCACCAATTATCCATCTTTCCTTCTCTCAAAAGCGGTTCATGCTTTGATGTAACCCTAGCTACAACTTTTCTTTCTCTCCCTTTGCACCTCCCCCTTGACTCTCCCTCTTTCCTATCCTTTCAACAGTGCCTCTTTGCTCCACCGCCGCAGATCTTTTTTCAGCTCTCCACTCCATATGTGGCTCCTTCAGGTGCGTAGGAAAGCAGCCCCATTGTCATGCCCTATCCTTCAGCAGCAGCAGCAGCAGCCCTATCCAGCTCCTGCGCAACCGCCAATGCCTTCTCTCTTTTGCTCATTCCCCCCACCCGACCCTCTAGACCCCGCCCTCCCCCCATGCCTCTTTCCCCCCTCCCCCCATCCCCCCCTCACCCCCACCCACTGACCCAGCACAAGTGACTTCGTCTGCTGCAGCAACCAGTGCATCGGATCGGGTGTCTTCCAATGGAGAGTGCTTGGTGCTTGAGCCACACAAGGCAACAATTTTGTCCTCTGACTGACTCGCACCACCCCTCCACCCCATCACCCCGCCACCGTGCGACCCCTCCACCCATCCCCATCCCAACCAGGGTTACAGCAGCACTCTCCCATCCGGTTGGTCCGGCACATGCCCCACCACAAGCGACTTCACCTGCAACAACAAGATCATCGGCGGGGGCATCTTCTATGCAGGGTTTGAGCACCGTTTCGGCAGGGTCAACCTGACCTTGGATTGGCTGTCTTCCCGGGACTCCGATGGCCACGGCACGTGGTGCACGGGGTGAGTGTATGGACGTGAAGAATGGCTCGAGGGGTTTAAGAGCAGTGGCACCCTTATTGGCGTTTCCTCGAACTGGCTGTAACCATGCTGTGTGACAGGACATGACAAGTGGTTCTCGGTGTGGGTGTACAGCTGTTGCTTTATGGTGCGCGGTGCATATTGCATCGACGATGGTACACGCTGCATGGTGCATGGTGCATGGTGCATAAAGCATGGTGGATGGTGGATGGTTCCAGCCGAATCGTGCATTTCTCCCCATAAATATCGCAGGCAATAGGAACATGCATGTCTTTAGCGGCTGAAGCGCCATTGGCATGACATGGTCTGGCAGAGCATGGTATACCCCAAGGTGTGTTGGCTGACAGGGGGGAACAGCATGTACGGGGCAAGGGCATTCCCCTCACTCTCCGTCCATCCCTGCATCATGCTTCCCCACCCCCAGAGCTGCAGCAGGGAACAGCGGCGTTCAGGTGCCTGACACGGGCAGCGCTAGTGGCGTGGCACCAGGAGCACGGCTAGCGATCTACAAGGCGATTTGGTCCCGAAGTGGTCCCGACAGGCGAAGCTCCAGGGGTTTGGAATCAGACGTCTATGCAGCCGCTGATCAGGCCGTGGCGGACGGTGTGGATGTGCTGAGCTTGTCCCTAGTGGACACTGTTTCTGACACAACTTATTGAGGAGCTTACCTTGGCGACATTCCTTTCCTCAGTGCTAATGCGGTGGGTGCAGTGCAAGTTGATCGGTTGGCTGAAAGTAGTTTTTATATTCATGTATTTTTTCCGTATTTATCTGCGCATGTTGTATCGAATTCGTATTTGCATTCGCATACATTCTGTTTCTGATATTTCCGATGCCCATATTCCTAAACTTGCATTGTACGCATCTGTGCACCACACACGTATCTGTCCGTGAAAGGACTCTTGGTGAGCAGTGCTCATTTGAATGCCCATTCGTGATTCGTGATTTGTATCTGTATATGTCCTCTTGCTCGTATTCGTATGTGCATTTTTGTTTCTATAGTTTCTTAGTGGTCTCTCTTTTGCTTGTGTGTGCACTCGTATGCATATCCATATTCCTACATTGTTTGTATCATTACCCGTGTTCCTGTAAGGACCCTATTTGTTTAACGTATATGTATTTGTTTCGTACTCGTTCTCGTAATAATCACAAGACCTGCATTTGCAAGTGCAACTGTAATCGTACGGATATCCATACTTTCATTATGCTTTTACTCGTTTAGCTTTGTAGTCTTTTTTTGCATTCAAAATTGTAAACCAATGTACACTTCCCTCCATCCTCCTCTCACTCCCCTCTTCTCTATCCTCCAAATCCCCTCCTCTCTCCTACTTTGCCATTTCTCGTATCAATTCTTGGCCTCCCTCTGCCTACTTCCCTCCCTCCCTCCCTCCCTCCCTCCCTCCCTCTCTCCCTCCGTTCCGTTATCAGGCCAGGTTGCTTGTAGCTTATGCAGGCTATTATGGCCACCCATCATCCATCCTGCATCCTTCTCTTCACCTCCTCTTTCCCCTCTTCCTCCCCCCCACCCCCCCCCTCCACTCTTTCCTCCCAGGCCAGGACCTTTGTAGCCGTCGCAGCAGGCGATAGTGGAGTGCCAATGGAAAAATTTATGGCGGGCTTGATGTATTCAATCAATTTCCATGCACCATTCTACATCACCGTGGGGGCAAGGTGAGCTTGTCTCTTGTCCCGTCCCTTATTCCCATACCCTATTACATGGCCTTCCGGGGACGTTGAGGGGGGAGAAGGTGATGGAAATTGCTGCCACAGGCCATCCGCAAAGGCTATTAGCATGGGCTATCAGCACGGGTTATCAGCAGGAACTCTCACCATGGGCTATTAAAACGGGCTATCCCCATGGGCTATCAGCATGGGCTATACCCGCACGGGCTGTCAGCATAGGCTATACCCGCACGGGCTATCACCATGGGCTATCGGCATGGTGTATCGGCATAGGCTATCATGCATCCCATCCCCTCTCCATCCTTTTTTATACCCTCCTTACCATACTCTGCAATACCATACTCCGAGGAGGTGTGTTCCTCGCTTCAACAAGACCAACAGCAACAGCAGCTGCATTAGGATGCCCAGCAAACACCACAGCCCCCACAGCCACACCGTCATCATCTTCGCCATTCAAAACAGCATGCACCGCCATTTCTTTGAATGGGACCCGAATCCCCCCCACCATCTCCCCAGCAGCAACCACTGCCCCTACCCTCTTTTGGGAGTCCTCCACTGGCCCTGTGGCCACATATCGGTGCTGCTTATGCCATCCACCGGGTGGAACTACCAATGCCATTCTCAAGCCCGACATCATCGCCCCTGGGGGTGCTCTGATTGGCGCTGCTCCCGGGAAGGCCGTTGGCGATGCGGGGTCGTTCCAGACGCTCTCAGGCACTTCCATGGCCACAGCGCATATTGCCGGCATCGCTGCTCTCATCATGCAGCAGCATCCTGATTGGACGCCGTCGCAGGTCATGTCGGCTATGATGACCACAGCGCGCACCACGAATAACACAAACAGGCCGATTAGAAGGGATGGTGGGAAGACAACGACGCCGTGGGAGATCGGAGCGGGGCATGTGTTTCCCGCTAGGGTGCTTGACCCCGGGTTAACCTACAATGCCGGGGAGCAGGACTATCGAATTTTTTATGCCGGGCTGAACATAAAGAAGGCTCGGGGGGAGTTCGGGCAGGTGCCACTAAAGCCCATTCCAGCAAAGAATCTAAATCGGCCTGTTATCTCGCTGCCAAAGATGTGGAAGAAGGGTTCTGCGATATGGACTGTAACAAACGTTGCAGGTACGACATCAACCTATACGGTAAAGATCAGTGCCCCCACGGTAGTGAAAGTGATCGTTTTGCCATCTCGGTTTACCATAGCGCCCGGGAAAAAACTCCGTTATAAGGTGACTGTTGTGGTGAAGCAGGCATTCAGAAGTTGGAAGTTTGGCAGCCTCACATGGATGGATGACAAGGGGCATTCGGTGCGCTCAGTACTTGCTTTGCATTGCGAACTGTCATGCTTGTACTGGTGCTAGGTAATAACGATGTAGAAGCAGCTGTGCTGCGTAGTGTGTTTTCGTTACATCCAGCTTTTCATTTACGGTATCTTTGGGGTGCATTCATTCCTAGAAGCTTATTTCTGGATTGGAATGGGTCCATGATGTAGTGCGATTAGACACCAGACCTGTCGTTATCAGGGTACTTTATCCTGATTCCCTGATTTCACAGGGTTTTTTTTTTCCAACCCTTAATTTTTAGGGTTGGACTTTTCTTAACCCTAGCCCCTTCGGGGTTGTAAGTTTCTGAACACTTGGGATTTCAGGGATTGCGTTATGCCAATACTGATTTTCCATGGAGCAACGCGTACGAACCCTGAGTGCGATATCCATGTGCCTT